AGCCTCTCCTGCAAGCACCAGCCAGCCTTTCCCGGGACCGGGACACGGCAGGAGGTTACCGGCTCACAGCCTGTCCTCACAGGGAGGACGGGGATGGCCTGAAACACACACACACGCACACACACGCACACACAGCGCACAACAAGGACAGGCGGGAGCAGGGCCTGCCTCCGGCTCCCCCGCTGCCCCACTCCGCCAGACCTCCGCACCCGCCACTGGCACGTGGCCTCCCACCCGACCCCACAACACAACCCTGTTTCTAGTATTAAAGCTGCTGCCTCACGGAGGACCCTCCCGTCCCTTCCCTCTCCTCTCGCCCGGGGCTAGGATCAAACGTCAGTCATCTCATCCTCCAGCTCAGCATCATCCGTCTCCCCTTCGCCCTCCTCTTCTTCGTCCGACGTCACGTCAGCATCGTCGGCTTGCGCTAGGCACTTGGGACACGAGCAGGTAAACAAGTAGTTCTCCCTGGAAGAAGGGAAGGAAGAAGGAGAAAGAGTGATGGCGTTGAGACAGGCACAACCCCAACGCTGCTGCTGGGACAGAGCAGCCAAGAAGGGGCTAAATATGTTAAACCCGAAGGAGTCTGCAGGTGCGATCATGCTGGGTTCAGGTGGGGTGGAGGGAGTCTGGGTGGAGAGGGGGATTTCTCAGCCCTGCAGGGGTGACGGGACATGGGGACGGTGACCATCAGCAGAAAAAAAAAAAGGAAAAGGAAGATGGGTGGGGACAGCAAGGTTTGCAGGAGCGAACTGCAGAGTGGAGCAAGGAGTGGGCGGCCCAAATCCTCGGTCCCTGGGGCTACAACCCACGAGAAGGGAGAGCAGGGAGCTCCAGCCTCACTCAAGAGATGAGTCCCCCATGGTCTGACGGCAGCAAGGATGAAGCCCAAAAGCGCCACGTGCTGCATGCACACCCTGCACAGCAGCCCGTGCGCGGCCACACACCAGGGCATGCACAGGGCCGCAAGGTGGGGACGCAGCCCAGGCTGGCTGACTGGGGGTGCAAAGGGGTGCTGTGTTCCCCCCGGGTTCCTCCAAGCAGCTCCTACCTGAGTATCTTGTTGCGGCTGTGTCTGCTCCGCTCCCTCTGACAGCAGTCTAAATAACTGATGCAGATTTCCTGTGAGTAGAGCGAAACAGGTTGGGCTGAGAATCACTTCCCACGAACGCAAAGCAGCACAATTTGTACCAGTCCCTCTCAGAGTCAGGCAGAAACATGGGTCTGGCAGCCCCTACATGGGATGAGGCGTGAATTCCTCTGCCAGGACAACACAAGAGACAGGAGGTACGGGGCTGGGGTCCACGGGAGAGGTAGGGGACACAGGGACCCTCTGCCAAGATGCGATGCCACCCCACGTTCATCCAGGCCCCGCTGTCTCACCTCTCCTGCTTCAATGTCCTCCAGAGCCGTCAGATGTAGGAGGAAGTTGTTTTCAGGGAAGGATGTCTCGGCATTGGGGATGCAGCTGTGGTTACCTACGGGAAAGACAGGACGAAGCTGTGAGAGTGTCTCCAGAAGAAGGGGAAGGCAGAGCCAGGGTTGGAGACCTCACACAGCCCACGGGGCTTCTGCCTGCCCTTCTGTGTGGCCCAGGCACACAGGAGCCAGTGCCACCAACTGGGAGGGCCATGGCCTGGCTAAGGATAAGGCAACACAATGCTGCGGCCACCCCATCTACCTCGGGGACAGCAGCATGACAGTCTCCACTTATACTGGGGACTACACGGTCCAGCAGAGCAGGGTGCAGGGTCAGGGCTCTCCCTTAGACCCTCAAAAACCGCTCGGAGAGAGCAAGCTGTCCTGCATCAACCCCAGAAATGCACAGCACCATCTCTGCCTCCAGGTGCTGAGGGAAGGATGCACACGGCAGCACTTTTTCCCTGCTTTGCAGCTCTCCCAACAGCCAGTCCCCAGGCCCTGCTCATCCCCGCTCTGCCGTTAACACTTAGGAGTGAAAGAAGACAGCTCTAGGTGCTGGGACATCCTTTCCTACGTCCCCATGGCCCGGCCAAGAAAGGCTCCCTTCCTTAATGTGTTTGTTCAGCTCCATTTTGCTCAGACAGGGATGGAGACAGTCTCTTTGCTAACTGCATACACGGTTCCCAGAGCCCATATCACATCCAAGTCCATTCAAGCCAGGAATGACCACTTCATAGCTAGGTGAGATGCCAGGAGACCCCGAGAAAGCAGCCAGGCCCCAGGGCAGCACCCATCCCATCCCAACCCACCCAATCCCAACCTACCCACGGATGTGAAGCATAAATCCCTTTCTCCAGAAGCTTTTAGGAAGAGGTGAGCCAGTCTATCCCAGGATATCTCCCTCCTCGCTATTAGTTTTCCTCCCAGTCCTTGCGTTACTTACTGCAGCTCTGGAGCACGTAGAGACCTGATCCCTCGCAGTTGAGGAACTCTCCTGACTCTGCAGCACAGAGAGGGGGTTAGAGCTTTGCATGGGCCATTCTGGCTCTTCCACACGCGCAGCTCAGCGCAAGCACGAAGCGATGTCCCTCAACGCTGAACGCACGCAGCCAGCGCTGCTTTGGGGGCCGGGTGTTGGAGGGTGATTTCCAAAGCACCCTTCCCTCCCCACTGGGAGGGGATGGAGGACATGAAGATTTGCAGCCCCAGGCTCCCTGGTCTGTCCCTGTACTCACACAGCTGCATCAGTCAAATAAGTGACAAACAGGTCTTCGAACATTCAACGTAGATGGGACTTTCCTGCACAGGATCCCTCCAGATCAGCCCTCCAGCCACCCCAACCTGCCGCAGTTCACCTGGACCATGCTGCCTGCAAACTTGGATTTGCGCTATCCATGTAGCGAGCCAAAGACAGCAGGCATGGCTCACACGGACCAGGGGAAGTGGGATCTCCCAGTCCCCAGTGGGAACCTCTTCTATTCCCTGAATGCTGGGAAGAGTCTCCAGCAGTCTCCTGAAAATGGCACTGCTTGACACTGCCCACGACCATGTCAGAGCCTCACCCTTCTCAATGTCCTTGTAGAGCTGGTCGATGAAGGCGTCCAGCTCCTCTCGCTGCAGCATGGGGAGATCCAGCGCATCGCAAGCGTGCACCCACTGGCTCAGAGAGCTGTCGGGAAGCAGAGGGACACCGTTACAGTCCTGCAGTGCTGTCGGCACACGGTGTGACCTCGCAGGGGGGATCTAAGGGCTAAACTCGGTGGCTCTGAGTGGCCAAGGTCTGGCAGAAGGACGCAAAAGCGTCAGACACAGCCAAGATGAAGGACTGCTTTTAAGTTTGCTTCTCCATCCCCCTCTCTTACGTCTGAAGCCAGCCATTACCCAGGCCAGTGTGGATTTACAGACTGTACATCCCCTCCATGCCAATCTCTGCTACCCTGCAAGGAGCACCCAGAAAGCCCCATTACCTTGTTCCTATGCCTTGGCCATTGGTCCCAACGAGGGCAAAGAGGGATCGAAAGCCTTCTGGAGTGAACCACTGCAGAAGGGAGATGAGAAAGCAGCTGAGCCCAGGCCAGCCTGCGGCAGCACCCCACTCTGCAAGTGCCTCAAATCTCACAGGGAGCTTTGGAGGAAGCAAGGAATGGGTAGAGTCCCAAGGGAAGCCCTGGCCTTCGGGGCAGACATGACCCAGGGGGGCTGGCGCCAAGCAGTGGGTCCCACCAGACTCCTGGGCTAGTCGGAGGGTGGCTCAACTCACCCTGCTGAGATGTTCGTCGTAAAGGGCTTCAGTGAAGAGCAACCGCAGGAGCTCCAGCTGGCCCTGGCAGGACATGGCAACACCGTCAGGGTGGGGAGACGCTGCTGGGAGTCAGACCCACCCAGGCTGACAGCCAAGCCCAGCTTGGGCTAGAAGGCTCAGGAGTCAGGCTCCTCGTCTTTCCCTGCAAGGCTGGAGGCTGCTGCCCTCAGAGCAGCGAAAGCCACTCATTTTAGCAGCAAAAGCCACCTACTCAGCAGCTAAATATCACCCTGTTCCATCCCACAGCAGAAGCATCTTCATCACAGGAGCAGTGTGTCTCACTGAAGCACCACAAGCCCAAAGCCCTCTAAGCAACCCGTTTCCTCTCTGTCAGGTCAGCCAGCCCCTAATGGGGGGCTTTGTGCCCTCACTTTGAGCCTGGGATTTCCAGTGTCTCCCATGCCAGCTATATGTCTCTGCACCCGTGGTCTCCCAGACACAGGCAGGGAGAGGACAGGCTCGGGGATTCAACACACCCAAGTGCTGCCAGGATCTTACCTTAAATTTGTCCCCCAGCAGCTTGTGCACAACCTCCTCTTCTTCATTTGCTGTCTTACTGCAGAACTGGGAGAAGGCCTTGATCCACCACTCCTTGTCTTTAGCCTGACAAAGGAATCAAGCAAAGGCATTGCACCAACACCGCTTTCCTCCCAGCCAGGACTGAGGGAGGAGAGGACAGGCCCCGCTGAGGTCAGAGGTATCCAGCCTGCTATCAAGAGCCACTAGAAGCAGTTGCATGGTGGTAGTTTATTGTCAGAATAAACACTGAGAAAGCCAGGCCAAAGAAACAGAACCAAAGGAAAGGTTCAGTTCTGACTAATTATTTTGGTACAGAAGAAAAAACCTGCTTGGCTCAGGAACCTCCTTTCCTGCCTGCTGTCTCCATGTCCAGGGACCACTAGACGTTGAAATCTATTCAAGCAGGACCCCGCTAGTCACCAGAGAAGAGATCAGTCCTTGGGAATACCAGCCATAACGGGATGAGGAAACCACACTCCGGCAGCTGTGGCTCCAAACTGCAGACGTACCTGTTTGACGGTGGCGACCATCCGGGCCATCAACATGATGCTGGAAGTCTCTGGTGGATAATGCATGTTTCTGGTGGATAAGAATGAAGAAAAGAGATGAGCAGATCAGCGCTGGTATGAAAATAAAAAGCTGGAGGGAGGCAGAGGCAGCTGCCATCCATGTGGTCAGGCCCACACTCATCCGTCACACCAAAGCGGCCAGTGCAGCATCGCTGCATGGGGATCCAGCGCCGCTCGGGGCGAGGAGAAGCCTGCACCCACCTGTCTGCTCTGAGCATACAAATAATCCCCTACCATCCTGCTAAACTAGAGCCTGGGTCCTATACAAAGCCCAGGACTGCAGCGAGTGCTGTAGTTTGTGACGAGCTTTGGATCAGGGATGTCGCTTCTCCCTTCTGTGCCCATTTTGTCATCTGCAAGCAGGGGCAGCAATTTATGTACCCACAGGGGTGCTACGAGGAGGATCTCCCAGAGGCTGGAGATCTGCAGGAGCACTATAAAATTGCAGGAGTGAGGGATGCGCAGCTCAGTGCTTTGTAGCTCTTTACTGGGAGAAAAATAAGAACTGCTCAGCCATGTGTCCAAACCCTTGTGCTGCCAACACAAATTCACCTGCTGCCCAACCAGCAGGAAGAGCTGGGCAGTATCCCATGGCCACCACCCCCCTCAAGCCACACCATGCAGGGATGCAAAGCAAGGACGGTCCTCAGCCCTGGTCCCAGGCAGCGTCACCCAGCCCAGGAGAGCCACCTCCTCTGCCCATGGAGCAACAGGCAGGTCGGTACCCTACCTCCAGGCCTCCTGCAGCTTGTTGAGGGGGTGCGTGGGGTCGTCACGGGACGGGCCGAGGCAGAGGACCTGGTGGTACTGCTCCAAAGCGGCCTGCCTGCATTCAGCGCTGCAGTACGTCACCTAGAGCGAGGGGCACAGCGCCCAGCATTGGCTATGGCAGCAGGAAAAGAGGGTCCTAGGTCCAGCTGTGCCCCCTCCCTGACCATCTGAGCCCCAGCTCTTCCGCCATCGTGATGCAGAAGGGAAAGGCAGACACCCATCTCGGGGCAGCTCAAGTGCCTGGCTAGATGCTGTAAAGGAGTCAGCGACCCCAACAAGACCACGGTCCCTCCCAGCAGCCCCATACCTGGCACCGGGGACACTGCTGATGCAGGTCTTTCCGGATGCTGCACTGCTCCGGGTGAGGCAGCACCAGCGAGCTCTTCCCCAGCAGCCGCTGGGCGGTTTTCTCCGCCGTCTCCCAGGCAGTGATCGCAGGCTGCGGGGAGACAAGACAGATGGATGCCACAGTGAGACCACAGGCTTCGAAAAGGAAAGCGGCCAGAGCCCGGGGCAAGACAGCGCGACTGGTACCAACACCGTCAGAGAGGACCATCTCCGAGCTGGAGGCACCAGTCTCTTACCACTCCCTCCATAGGAAAGACCATTTCTGCTGCAATTTAAACTCCCCCAGCCCTCATCTGCTGCTCTATAACGCTCAGAAGTGTTTAAGGGGCGTACGATGGCTGTAAGGAAAGCGGCCAGAGCCCGGGGCAAGACAGCGCGACTGGTACCAACACCGTCAGAGAGGACCATCTCCGAGCTGGAGGCACCAGTCTCTTACCACTCCCTCCATAGGAAAGACCATTTCTGCTGCAATTTAAACTCCCCCAGCCCTCATCTGCTGCTCTATAACGCTCAGAAGTGTTTAAGGGGCGTACGATGGCTGTAAGTCCCCATGTTGCTGACCCGTGATGGAGCTCAGCAGACAGCAGGGTCTAGGGAGGACAAAAAAGTTTAAAATGCCATCCAGATGCCATCCAGAGGGACATGGACAAGCT